CATTATTGGCGGACGGTCCATATAGTTGGGATTATACAAAAATAATCAATAGTTGGGATTATTGTTAGATGACCGGCAATAGTTGAGATTATTATTTTCAATTTTTAATTATTATATTTGTTTATAATTTATAAATTGTATACTTTTATGAAACTATTTTGAATAAGAAACATTTTGGTAGAATTTTTATGTTCCAAATATTTTCGTATTACAAAATAATAAAATATCAATGGTCAAAGTTGAATATCACTGACCATGAAAAGTCAATTTGACAACCTTTTGGAGGACGAGGGAGCAATAGACATAACTCCAAACGGTGGGCGTAGCTCAACTGGTAGCGAGAGAGTGCCACAAAGGTTAGGTCCCGGGTTCGAATCCCGACAACTGCGATGCGAGGTTACTATGCTAAAATGTATAGGGCCTCTGCAAGTACCAGGGACAGAGCTTCACTCTCTATCTGTCAGATTGGGATTATAGTCCAATTTACATTCTCCCCAACGTATCGTCCGATCGGGGTTGGGGGCCCTCAGGGATGGGGTGTCATCCTTTTTTTTTAAATTGAGAGGGGGCATATATATGGGGTTTTACCTTAAATATTGCCAAATAGAACTTAATTTCCATAAATATGACTACTTTTACATATTGACAAAAATGTTACTCCGTACTAATATGGTCATATATTTGGAAAAATGTCACTGGAGGTTTGTTATGTCACTATAATATTTTCGGGTCACTGAAAGTTTGTCACTATCGAATTTTTATGTCACTTACGAATGTCACTATCAAATTTTTATTTCATTTACGGTTGTCACTAATACCTTGAAGTGTCACTATAATCGTCGGACACTTTTCCGACGATCGTTTCTAGCAAAATTATGACCACCAGCCCCACCACAACAAGCCACCCACCGACACCGCCGTCCAACCGCCGTCACTGCCTCTCCCCGAAGACCGCAAACCCCAGCCCCACCCTCTAGCAACCCCCAACCCTAACCCCACTGCCCTAACTTGTCTTCGTCAAATCCCTTACTAGCCCCTTCCCTAGCCGCACCGCCCAACCCTAGGTGGCTACGTGACTATCCTCGACCATACATGGCCGCCGCTACAGGCCCCTAGCCCCGTCGCAGTCTCGACAACCCTACCCTAACCGCTCACCGCCGCAGATCTGGAAGCCAGGACGACGTAAAATCACAAATTTGACCTCAGTCTTCCATCTTGTCATCGATTCATGGAGGATGATGACAGCAGACGTGGTCGTTCGCACCCCCAGAATCAGTTAGAAATAGAAGAAAAAGAGACGTATATGGTGATGCGAGTGAACAGTGACGTTGGTGAACGGCGAAAGCGGTGGCGACGATGGGGCGGCGGGCTGTGGCGATTTCCTTCTCAACGGCGGCGATTTCCAAAGCTCTCCAAACCTATGTGATAAGGAAGAGTTGCAGAGACAGGGAATGAGGCAGAAGACCAAGGCGTAAGAGATATGCAGAGAGAGAGGCAATGACGGGAGGGTGGGTTTAGGCTTATGAGTTATGAGATTAAATCAGTTTTTTGTCTAAACAAAAAATGGTGATATTTATACGGTGGGATCGGCCCACCATGAGCATGGTGTGCCGATCCCAAAACAGCGTTGTTTTATTTAATAAAAAAGAGACCTTTTAGTTACGTAACAACACATAGCAAGGGAGCAAGTAGCTGCATCGCCGCATCGGAAGAAGAAGACGTGAACTCTGGCCTCTGTGCCTCTGTGTTGTGTCGTATCCTGAAGCAAACCTTGCTTGCTAGCTCCTCATCATTGACCGATTAGAAAGCAACGACTTAGAATATATGGTTTCTCCCATCCCATGAGACTTTAGCAACAACTTCTCCTATGCTCCACTATTAGAGAATTGATTGATAATTTTTTTGAAAAAATTGTTTGATGATTGTTAAAAACGGATGATACATTTTCTTGAAAAAAAATATTCCCTCCGTTTCTCAAACAAGTTCCACCTTTCCTTTTCGCACAGATTCAAAATTAAGTTCCACTTTCAAACATTTCTTTATTTGGCAAATTATCTACATTACAACAGTGTCAAACAGTGTCAAACAGTGTTCAAACAGTGCCAAACAGTGCACTCCGCAGTAAAGTCAAATTTATTTTCTTAATTTGTGTGAAGTCAAATGTGGAACTTGTTTCAGAAACGGAGGGAGTATTATACAGTGTTAGACAATTTATATTTTGATTGATTCAAATTACATTTGAAAATGCATGCAGTTGCATCAGAATTTGCCTAAAGTTACCTATCTTAAACCGTGAGTTACATACATGTCAACTCTTTTTTATCAAGTTACATCTTATTTACATTTGATTTACATTTTCCAAAACGCGTGTTACACCTCAATACAATGCGAGTTACACAGTCCCATAAGCCTCTGCTATTCAAACAATTTTTTTAATAAAAAAAATCGTTTTTATAACCCTGATATTAAAAACAAAACATATAGACTATTTATGTAAAATAAATGGACAATTAGACTCCTTTTCTTCCACTAAAATCAATTAGACTCTTTTTTTCATTGTTTAGATTGAAATCAATATTGTATTTCTAATACTATGTATTTGACAAGTTATATTTCGAATGTACTTGAGTTACATTACTCAATACCGTAAGTTACATATCTTTACACGTGAGTTACATCACTCATGGTACTAGAAGAAAAAGAAAGAAAAAATGTTATTGTTCACGCATGTGCTTTTGAGGCGTGTGCTTTTCCATATATATCTACTCCACGACGTTCGCGGAAGTCTTGGAGAAAGCAAAAACAAATACGCAACAGAGCAAGTGGACACTCCCAGCCGGTCCTACCTTGCCCAGTGCCCACCCAAATGTAGATAGTTATATTTGGCTGAAAACCTATTTTTTGAAGGACACAGAAAAAGCAGAAACAAAATGGCAAAGTTGTTCCTGCAGCAAGCGAAGCAGTACTCGGAGGGAAGGCCCACCTACCCCCACCAACTCTTCGACTTCATCGCTTCGAAAACCCCTCGCCGCGACCTCGTCTGGGACGTCGGCACCGGCAGCGGCCAGGCTGCCATCTCTGTAAGTAAAACGTACTAGCAGTAGTTAACTTTTACCTGGCCTACCCATTTTTATATTATTCATTCACACCCATAAAAAAGGTTTTAAAAGGTTTGGTAGAGTCCATTTAAGGATAAGTATTTTGATTAAGTGATTAAGTTTTACTTTGATTTCAATCTACTTTGTCCTGATCATTTACTATTATGTTTTCAATCTACCCTTTCTGCATATATGCATGAACCAATTATGTAAATTGGCTGTTGATCACCCCTTAAGTTTATAATCCTTTTTTGTTTCACAGTTAGCTGAGAAATACAAGAATGTGGTTGGCACAGACACCAGCCCAAACCAACTCCAATTTGCACCAGAACTGCCTAACGTCCAGTATGTCTGCACCCCGCCGAACATGTCACTGCCCGATCTGCAGACCAACATTGGGCCGGAATCAAGCGTCGATTTAGTGACAGTCGCACAAGCCCTGCACTGGTTTGATCTCCCCACCTTCTACCAGCAAGTGAAATGGATACTCAAGAAACCCGACGGAGTCATCGCGGCTTGGTCCTACCACTTGCCACAGGTCAGCGACTCGGTAGACTCCGTTTTCCATAGATATTACGCTTCTTCGGGTCCTTTCTGGGACCCGGCGAGGAAACTGGTGGACGAGAGGTATAGAACCATTGATTTCCCGTTCGAACCAGTGGATAGATGCGAGGGGAACGGGCCTTTTGAATTCAAGGCAGAGAGGTTGATGGAGCTGGAGAGCTATTTCACATACATAAGGTCGTCTTCCGCGTACCAAACTGCAAAAAATAAGGGTGTGGAGCTTCTGGGAAATGATGTTGTTGAAGACTTCACAAGAGCTTGGAATGAAGGTGGCGAAGGTCACAAAAAGATTGTTTCATTCCCTGTTTATCTCAGGATTGGGAAAGTTGGGAACTTGGAATGAATGAATGTCTGTAAACCATAAAAGAAAAATTGAGCAATAAAACTCCTACTCTGCACAGTACAGTTTACCTTACCATTTTAATGGTTAGTGGCTTACTGAGTTTCTGCTGATGTTTGGCTTAAGAATCTGTGCTAGTTTGGTTTTTAGGTATATTATGTTGTATTTTTGCAAATAAATCATGAAGTGCATATATCTGTTAGTATCTTGCTCGTTTCTCATTTTCCTCAAGGGGTTTCCTCTTCGGTTGACTCCTGATACATCCTTGGTACATTTCCGGTTTCTCCAAAATGGACTCGAACAGGCTGTGATCATTTGCTTTCGAAAAAACGGCTATAAAACAACACCAAAGCCGATTCAAGAACCGGAGTTGGATCACCCTGGAAATTCCGACTGGCCGGAATCCCCCCCCCCCCCCCCCCCCCCCCCCGTGCATATGACAGAGTGACAGAGATTTACAATTTACAACCTTGGACAACAACCTACATGTGTCAAATAAGTATTCTTTTACATTGTTCATATTGTGAAATACCTTGTTATTACATTAAGAATAATAATATTTTACATTCAGAAATGTATATGTTGCTCATGCAAAACTTATCATATTTCAAAATTCCTATTATCATATTGTTGTTTTATAGAAACTAACTGTAATAAAACACAATATATACATTACCTTAGTAATATTAATGCCCAAAATCAGAAAATGATTAGATACTGTTTATATGTTTAAAATATTAAGTCATAAGGTGTTATTAGTGACGTAAAACTTATAATATTTAGTACTTATCATATTTAACAAAAACATTCAAAGGAAAAAACATGGACATGGTTGAATGGTAACCGCTTAAAAATCAGTTCCTAAGCTTTTAGTTCAGTTCAAAATCAACCCAATTAAATATGTCTCCAGGAAATACATATTTTTTCGTAATGTCGTTCACACTCACACTTCTCACATTATTTGATATTGCAAAAGATGATAGCTAGTATATAACCAATTTAAAATTATCATCATAAATATAAATTATCACTTGCAAGTTGGCGGCTAATTAAAACTTAGCCAAAACCATACATCCTTCACAGCTTTTGACTATAAGTAGGAAAAAAGTGGAAAACTGAATTTGCCTTGTGTTCTTAAATACTTCGCAAGTACTAATGATGCCTACCAATGTGCTTTGAAGAAACTTGATTTGATTTCAATCAGAGGAACCAAGAGCTGACTGCAAGATATCATCAAGGTACTTCTCTGCATCAGTATACTGTCTTTTCTTCTCCTCTATCGCCAATGCGGCCAATGCTTTGTCCTACATCATCATCATAGTAAGGACTAAAATTCAATGGAAAACCATATGAAGGAAATTAGAAAAGATTAAAAAACTCAGTAGATCTTACAGGGGGCAGGTCTTGGTAGCTTCTCAAGGTATCGAGAATGGGTTTTGTTTTGTTCTCCAAATCCTTTCTGTGCTCTGCCATTTCAACCAGCACTCCATGACTCACCTCCGGGGTATAGCCAACACGGTTGAGCATTGCCTGCAAATTAAGTACATTTTAAGCTAATGTATATGCATAAAATACATTTATTTAGAGCATAATGTTAAAATTAAGCTTGAAATGCACCACCATATTATGTGTTTGGGATAGCCGAAAGATATTACTCCCTCCATCCCACTAAACTTTATAAAATTACTTATTTAGCCATCCAAAAAACAGGCATATCCTTTTAAAGTAACAATTTTGGGATTGATATTATTTCTCTTTCCTCTACACAAACCACAACAACACAATTTTTATTTTATTATTCCACAATTCACCTCCAAGTCAAAACTGGCAAAGTGGACGAGAATATAGTACGGTTTTTGCGGAGTTTAAGAGTAAAAATAGAGGAGTAGTCAATATTAGGCGAGAGTGGACGAGAATATAGAGAAAACTAGAAAGAGGGGATAAAAAGTCCAGATATTTGTGTATCTTGATATGGTAATAAAATACTTCCCAAAAAGGAATGCTAGGGATAGTTATAAAACTACAAGAGCTTGCTTACACCAAATCCCTCATTTTCCTTACCATATGACAAGATGGTATAACTCTCTGCATCTCTATATGGACTCTTTTTAAAGAAGAAAAATGCTATCCAGCAACATCTCATATACTATGAGTTTCACCTAATTTCTCAGTCATCTAGCATTTGGTTCCATAATTCCATTAATACTTTTATTTATTTTTGGGAAAAGGTGCAAATAAGCCCATGTACTATCAAAAAAAGGTCAAATAAGCCCTTATTTAGGAGGCTCTGTCCGGTCATCGCTATTTAGGATGGTTCCCAGTGGAATTTTTTGATGAAAATTTTTGAGCATCTTAGTCATCAAGTCTAGTTTACTCATACCAAATTTCAGCTAAAACTTAAATCGGGAAGGCATTCAAATGAATTATTGAAAATAACTGCGCAGTTAGAATCGCAGTTATCTTCAAGAATTCATTTGAATGTCTTCCCGATTGAAGTTTTAGCTACAATTTGGTATGAGTAAACTAGACTTGATGAATAAGATGCTCAAAAAATTTCATCAAAACATTCCACCAGGAACCACCCCAAATGATGACGACCGGATAGAGCCTCCTAAATAAGGACTTATTTGACCTTTTTTGTTTAGTACATGGGCCTATTTGCACATTTTCCCTTTATTTTTTAAACATACAAGTATAGCAGCTATAGTAAGCAGGCCTTCACCAATGAAACTAAACATGTTCATTTGAGAATAATATACAAAAAAAAAAAACTCTTTGCATTTGGCTTGGTATATTAAGCAAAAATCCAAGCCATACAAGTTTGACATATAGCCTGTATTGCTAATATCTCAGTGTATATCATTGATCTGCATTTCCCTCTCAGAGGAAAACTAACACCATAGTCATTGAGGTCCATTGAAATCACTACTTTAACAAATTGAAATGAAAATAAACGAAGATGTAGATGGTTGGAAACCTAATCCTTTAACCGCGAAATGATGTTTAACAAAAACATTAAGTTACCTTATAATTAGAATACTGCTGAAAATATTGTCTCTCTTTTGACTCCATAATTGTGAGGTTTGTTTTCCAGTTTTCCATTTGTGCTTCACAGGGAGAAATGTCATCTTCCAGCTGTGCAAGTGTTCTACCAAATAATAATAGTTCAAAAGCAGTCATGGAAAAAACAGATACTGATAAACCTTTCCCAAACTTAAAATCATTTGAATAATCTTCAAAAATAGCACAACATTTTATCAAGAACATTATCAAAAAGAATAAATCTATAGTTACCTTTTTAAATAAGTCAATCTTGATATTGCCTTTCGAGTATAATCGAGAAGAGCTTTTGATTCCTGCTGCACTTTAGCCCTTTTCTCTTCAACTGCTGTTTTCCTTAGAGATAGATCTGCTATTGCTACAAGAAAGCTACAATTTTTTCCTTTCCTAAGACTGAAGCCGCAAAAACAAATAGAAAGGGAAAACAAGAGATGTGAAACAACAAAACCTCGCCCACCTACTCAATTCGGTATCTCTAATATTCAACAAATTTGACGTGCTAGCAAGGACTTGTGCGGAGGAAACCACATTCGGGGTTAAGCTCTCTTGGCCCAATCCCACGTTCTCTAATATCTCTCTTATCCTAGCAGCTACAACCATGGCATATTCAGCCAGTCAATTACAATACAGCTTGCCATGGAACAGTTCAGTCCGATAGTAAAGAAAAAAATTAGGTTTTCATTAAAACGGTGAGAAGGTAGATCGTAGCGGCACCTTGAGACCTAAATTCAGCAGCTTTTTGACGGAAATCTTTAGCCACAATTCCAGCGGCTTGATTTTTGGCCTGGGAGGCGGTTGCGATATTGTGCAAATGCGCAACGCTTCGTGCGGTGTACTCTAAAGCAGGGACGTCCTTCCCAACAGCATCGAATTGGGAAGTCAGCCACGATTTTACTTCTGCAATTCTACTCGCATCGAACACATTGCCGCTCTTAAGCGGCGTTTCCGTCGATACCGAAGGATCACTTCCGCTCAATGTTTCACTCATCTTTCTTTGCTGATCAATCGCAAACGAAGCACCGCCCGCCTTGAGTAAAGAGCGATCTGTTTTCAACCGGATAAAAAGAAACAAAAAGAAACGCCGATGACCGATCAGCGTCGCTCAAGCTCAAAATTCGAATGGGTCTAAAGAGTAAGTTTCCATTTCAAATTATCAATTACCATATTTCCTCCAAATGGCTTGCTTGATTTTTTGTCTTTCACGCCAACAACAAAACAAAAAGTGTTTGCTTGTTCATGATGAGGCCAACAATAGTACTCTAAAATTTAAAAACTCAGAATAATTTAAAGACCTCAAATTTTGAAGATCCCTAACTTTCTTATGTAATATTTATACTCTGTATTTTATATAAAAAATAATATTAGTATCATGAACATATATTTTTTCTTTTACAATATAAATTTATGACGCTTTAACTATACATCTATAAATATAAAAATATTTTAAATCATGTGCTTAACATTATAAGTTTACATTTTCGAATAAAAAATACATAGTAATGGTGTTAACATGACTTTTTATGTAAAGTTCGGGGTATATATATTACATATGTAATTTTGGGGTGCTTATCTCACAGCCCTTCAAAGTTTAGGGTATTTAAATTATTTTTCCTAATTTAAAAATAGTGTTTTTTGTTGTAAAATGAAGAAGATGGAGACTAAATTTAAGAAATAGATATTTTATTAATAAGTTCTAAATTACTTCTTATTAATATCTGAATTTTTCTGAATGAATTTACAAGGCTCCATCAAGCTCCTATTTATAGTGGTTGAGCTTGATGATTAGTCATCTAAATGATAACTCTACAGATTTGGTGGCAATAACATATTGAGTCATCTGTTCTAACTAGGTTACAAAGATTATTACAAGGATCATCAAAAGCTTGGTGTCCTAATGACATGGATGAACAATTCACACTTGTCATTTCCTAGATTTTACAACACTCCTCCTTGAATGTTCATCTAGGTATTTGTTATGTTAAAAACTTATTATGAAAAAATAGCGTGAAAATGAAGGGGTAAAGATTACGACTTAGAATGTCGTTGTATTTGGATGTACTGTCTCGTTAAAAACCTTATCAGGAAAAATTCAATGGGATAACTCATAATAGTGCCCCTTGGATTGTTGCTGGAAACTTTAAGGCTATCACTCATCTTGATGAGTACGAGGGTAACTCTATACCTAACATTTAGGACATTAATGATTTCGATGAGTTCATTCATGCCAATGCCTTACTGGATTTTCATATGGGAAGCTTGATAGGGTTTTTGTCTCTGATGAAGTTTTGCAATTAAAACAGAATTTTAAACTTCAAATATTACAGAAAAATGTTTCTGACCATAATCTTCTTCTGTTTATGGAAACAAAGTCAATCTCTTATCCAAAAAAATTCAAATTCCAGCATATGTGGATTTCTCATCCCAATTTTCTTAATGAAATCATTTCTTCTTGGAACTCCGAGTGTGAAGGTTATGGCATGTTCAAGTTTCATCTGAAATTGCAAAGGCTAAAGAATCACCTCAGAACCCGGAATAAAAAAATTTTTGAAATTTTTTTTGACTAAATTTCGGAGGTTGAGCTTTTAATTTATAAATTAGAGGAAAACCTGGAAATACCCTTTCAGATACTGATCTTATCCTTCTTAAAGAAGGTCAAGTCAACCCTATTAGACTCCTCAATCTTAAATATACTTTCTCAAGGCAGAAGGCAAAAACTAAGTGGCTGAAAGACTGAAAGAGGGAGATGCAAATACATCTTTTTTTCATCTCACTTTGAAAGCCAAACATAAAAAACTTTCCATCAACGAGAATAACACTGATGATGGTCACATTTAGGAGGAAAAGACTCAAATAAGTGCTGAAGCGGTAAAATATTTCAAAAATTTGCTCTCGGATACCTCTGACTATAACCACGTTGCTGCTCCCATTTTTATTAATGTTGTCATATCTCGTACTGTTTCTGAGCAAGATAATGCTCTTCTTATGGCCCCTGTTAGTCTGTTACCCCTTTCTGAGCAAAAATGTGCTAGATTTCTCTGGTCTAATTCTGATTTTGAAAGAAGACACATTTGGAGAAAATGAAGCAATCTTTCTTATCCTACTATGGAAAATTGTTTGGATTTTAGGGATCTTTTTGCTATTCAAAATTGTTTCGTTGGTGGAAAGCTGCTCATCAAACAGGTTTATGGGGATTTTGGTTCTCCAAACTTAAGAATCTTCCTCACAGTCTCACTCTTATCTCTGGAAAGGTTTGAGGAAGGCTAAGACCACCTTTGACAATTTAACTACTTTGGTGGTTTGTAATGGTATGTCTTGTTTCTGGAATTCCAATTGAACTGATTTTGGTAGGTTGGTGGATTACGCTAATGGTGCTGATCTGTTACAACCTCAAATGGCTATAAGGGAAGATTTTTCTCACCCTACTTTTTTCTCTGGCATTAAGTCCCTTTTGCCTGATTATATTATGCAGCATGTTAATTCCTTTAAGCATCATTTCAATGCGCATAGTGATATATTGGTTTGGACCCCTAATCCCTCTGGCTCCTACTCTTTCAAAAGTGCCTATGGTGAAACTAAACCCAAAAGAATAACTGACAATTTTAGTAAGCATATTTGGAGCACGAATATCCCCAGCAAAATCTCCTTTTTCATTTGAAAGGTTATTAATAACTTGCAACCCTTCCAAGAGAGGTTGCACAAGTTTGGTAGTTATGGCCCCTTTAAATGTCCTTTTTGTAATAATTGTGACACTAGGGATCATTGCTACACTACTTGTGATTTCAGTCACAAGTTGTGGTCCCATTACGGAAATATTTTCAAAATTGCAAACTATAGCACTAATAATTTAAGTCTGAAAAAAAAGATAATTTAAATACTATGCTCCAAAATTGATTCAGTGCCCATGATGATTATCAAAATCTGCAAAGTCGGGTTGGTATTTACATTTGTTGGACCGTTTGGAAGCGTAGATATGTCTACATTTTTTATGATATAAATCTCCATATTTCTGAGGCTATTAATTACATCAATAAGGAGCTTAGGGATGTTAGTAATGCAAAACCTTTGATCATTAATGCCAACAATCGATTCATGGTATTTATTGTATTATCTTTGTTCCCAAACCCAAAAAGGGTAATTCTCCTGTTTACTGTTGGCGCAAACCCCCCTCTACTTATATTATTAAGATTAGTATATCCTTGGTTTCTGATACGAATGGTGGTCACATTTAAGGATTAATTGTTCGGAATGATCATGATTATGTCATCTATTATCAGAGAAACTCTCATTTTAATCTGAATTGAACTTCCATTATTTGTGATATTTTGATTAACATGAAAGTTTTTCTACAAGAGTAACTATACAAAAATTGTCATTGAATGTGATAGTTTGCAGGTGATACAGACCATAAATGAGGTAGTAAGATCACATTGGAAAGCTCTATCCTATTTGCTGGCTTTTAAAGAAAAGTTTGAGGGGTACAATTTAGATTTCTCGTACATTAAGAAACCTTGTAACAAAGTCGTTGAGTATATTGCAAACAATTTGGTGAATTTTGAGAACAATTCTATCATTTGCAACAAATTTTTAGGAATTGTTAAATTTGACGCTATTAGACATTAGTTATTCGTATGCTTGCTGATTCGGTAGGTTTTGGTCTAGTCCCCCTACCGTGTATTACTTTCATCTTTCTAAAAAACTGGTACGGTGTTCCTTGACCCTTACCCCACTTTCAAGTGGTTTAACACCGGGTTAAAAAAAAGTTACTATGATATTCGAATTATTAATTCTCATAGGATCGCATTACATATTACATAGATGATAGAGCCGTCAAAATGGGCCGAAACCCGCGGGCAGACCCGTTTAAACCCATTTATTGATGGGTTAGGATTGTGAATTTCTGACCCATTTAGTTCACAGGTTTAAGTGGGTTGGCCCAACGAGTTGCGGGTTGGCCCACGGGCCAATATACAAACATATTGTTTTGACTTTTATTATCTTCAATATTGTTCTTTTACTACCAAAAACTAGGGATGGATTCGCGCCGGGTCAGGCCCGGGCCGGGCCTAGGCCCGGTCGGGCCGCCGGTTCGTATCACATGGGCCCGGGACCGGCCCGAGGGTTGGACGGGTCCGGTTCGGGCCGGGCCACCCGCCCGGGTCACGGGTCGGGCCACCCGCCGGGCCGGACCGGTTAAATATTTTTTTTTTAATTTATATTTTATACTTTATAGTTTTATACAAGTATTAAAAAACAAACTTCAAGTGCATTTATTTGAAATGAAATAGGAACTACATTTAAAAATTAAATAGGAACTATAATTGTTTTTAAAACATGAAATACTAATCAATCATTCATTATTTCAATCGGAATCTCCGGCATAGGTAGAGCCACCCTCGGTTGCAATTGTAGATTCATCCATAAAGTGTTGGGATGGGGTGATGTCAATTTCTTGAGCTCTACGGGCTGCTTTCAACCAATCGTGGTAGCATATAAGCATCTCAAGAGATTCAGCACTCAACCTCGTTCTGGTTTGTGTTAGGACATTGTCGGCCGAACTAAATTTTTGTTCCACGGCAACCGTTGAAACCGGCATTGATAGCACTTGCTTAGCCATCTTTGCTAAAACCGGGAACATTCTTTCTTTTCCCTTCCACCAGTTTAGTACGTCAAAATCATCATCTTCTTCAAAATCAACATCATAAGTTTAATACAAAGAAATCTCATTAATTGTGTTTTGTTGTGTAGCGGGAGTTGATTTCGTTTTTTTAATAAGATTGGCAAACGAAGATTTGAAAATTGATTTTCCTTTAGATGATGTTTGTGTCGGGGGAGGGGGCGCATTGCCATATTGTGCATGAAACTTATTGAATAATGCATAAAATATATCACTAACCTCGTTGTATTCTTTTTTCGGATCAATTGGGTTGTCCTCATACATTGGCAATGGACCAAAAAAAGCAACATAATAATAATTCAAACATTCTTCTAAAGAACCAAGTCTAAAACGAGGATCGAGAACAAATGCAATACCATAAATATGCGGAATAAGTGAATAATATTTTAAAAACTTTTCCTTCATAAAACTAGCAAAATAACTCACATAATCAGCATTCTCAAAATTTGAAAAAGCACCGGCGAGATTAACAGCTTCACGAATAAATTGGTTTGAGGTAGGTTTATAAACATGACTAAAAGTTTGAGTTGCGTTATTAAAATATATCAAAGCATTACAAATTTTTTTACAGGTGTCGATCTCAGCAGAGTTTATAATATAGTTATCATATTGTTTCATAAAAGCAGGA